CTTTTTAAATGTTTATTAATTTTTTTTAATGTTTATTTATTTTTGAGAGAGACAGACAGACAGAGCATGAGCAGGGGAGGGGCAGAGAGAGAGGGAGACACAGAATCCGAAGCAGGCTCCAGGCTCTGAGCGGTCAGCACAGAGCCTGATGCGGGGCTTGAACTCACAAACCGTGAGGTCATGACCTGAGCCGAAGTCGGACGCTCAACCGACTGAGCCACCCAGGTGCCCCTTTTCTTGCTTTTTAAAAATCATCATTATTATTGCTAGTCTATGTATCTTCGTATGATGTATTTGTCATCAGCATTCAGTTATTTTCAAACAGCGATAAATATTTTAAAACATTGATTAACTAAGAGATGAAATATCCTTGCAACCGAATACTAATATTAACGTTTAAAATAATCCTTCATGTTACCTGGACTCCTGTGTTCATGTCCTGCATTTCTCTCTGACAAACGTCAAAGAACATTTGAAATGAAAGAATACATATTCTTCGTTTAGTTTTTCCAAAAAGAAAGTTGTATTGTTCTTCATAGCATTCTACCTTTGGCCTCCCTCCATCTTTATCCTAATGAGTTTGCTTATTTCCAGCTGACCCCAGGAAGATGGACCCTTCCAAACCAGCTTCCAACATGGCAGGAGTCGTGGTCATTGTGGTCCTCCTGATCGTAACAGGTGCTGGCCTCGCTGCATATTTCTTTTACAAGAAGAGACGTGTGCACTTACCTCAAGAGAACACATTTGAAAACACTCTCTATTTTAACAGTAGGTTGAGTCCAGGAACTAGCGATACAAAAGATCTTGTGGGCAACATCGAACAGAATGAACATGCAGGCATCTAGTCTCATAATGTGATTTTGATATATTTGAATTTCATAACATTATACTAAAATGTTAAGGTTCTTTAATTCAATGTGATTGTCTCCTTTACAATTAGTACTGTATTGCACTGGCCTGTCCTTTTCCTTTGCCTAATTGAAGAAATAATCGCTCATTTTCTAGTCTGGCAAGGTATCTTCGTGAAAGAGAGGTAATGATATTGATGACCACTTCTAAAAATATGTGAGGTGAACACACAACACCATAATACCAACACATTTAAGCCTCACTTGTGTGTTGGTAGTGTCGACTGCCTGTGACAGAGTGATTAGAAGAACCCCAAACACCTAAGCTTTCTAAAATAGTTTAAGGTGCTCCCAAAGAAATGTTACCTATTGAATTATAATTCGGTAATTAGAAAACCATTTTGAAAATCAAGTACACGTAACTTGTTCTTTGTTGTTTCAGGTAGCATAAAAATTTAGTCACATTTTCCTCTTACCAATCCTGACTTTTACATCAGTTATTTAGAATTGCATTTGTACATGTGCAGAAAGAATGAGGCAGCTGAGAACCTGTTTTCCCCTAGCAGGGTTTTCAAGGCTGAATATTGCAAATGTGTTCTTTGTCCTGTTATATGTATATCAGGAATGCAAAGATGTGAAATAAAAATGTAAATTTGCATAACTGGGTGTACTTAGATAATGTGAAATAAACATCAAAGACAAGGTCTATTTATAATATATTTGTGTTTTGGTGATCTTGGTAAATGTAAATTTTCTTTTAAGTGTGACTTATTTATCTATTTTCTTTATACTGGTCTTTCCTCTGAAAATAAACAATTTATTACTAGATAAATTCTTTAAACTAGACCCTCCATCTGTTTGGAAAAGACGTGTTGCTAAAGCATTATGTACAAAATGAATTTTTTCTCATGGTGACTTACATAATTTCCCCAGATCTTCATCTATAGCATTGATGCCACTCAGAAGTCCACAACCAGGGGCGCCTGGGTGGCGCAGTCGGTTAAGCGTCCGACTTCAGCCAGGTCACGATCTCGCGGTC